CATTTTACAAATAGAATTTTCATCCCAGTATTTTCCGGCTGAAAAAAAATGTCAAATATTAGAGACCAATTAAATAAATTATATAGCCATTTAGTGGAATACTATTATTCTGAAATTTGCAATGATGCTTTTGAAACTGAACATGTTAATATTTAAAACAGTTTTTATAACAGTTAAAAAATCCTTTATTGGGCTGGGCGCGGTAGCTCATGCCTGTAATCCTAGCATTCTGGGAGGCCGAGGCGGGTGGATTGCTCAAGATCAGGAGTTCAAAACCAGCCTGAGCAAGAGCGAGACCCCATCTCTACTAAAAATAGAAGGAAATTAATTGACCAACGAAAAATATACATAGAAAAAATTAGCCGAGCATGGTGGTACATGCCTGTAGTCCCAGCTATTTGGGAGGCTGAGGCAGGAGGATCGCTTGAGCCCAGGAGTTGGAGGTTGCTGTAAGCTAGGCTGATGCCATGGCACTCACTTTAGCCCCGGCAAGAGAGTGAGACTCTGTCTCAAAAATAAATAAATAAATAAATAAATGTGACGCAAGGTATCAGTCTCCTGAGCAAGATGCTACCACTACCTACAAAGTAATCTTAAAATGTTGAATGTGAATCTGGTCAAGCCTCTAGATCTGTCACTTTATCGCAAATACAGAAGAAAGAGGAACATGTTAAATGACGTCACAGCAATGAAATCAGCAAACCCAGACTGTGAGAACCACAAGACATCTTTATTTCTTCAACAAATGCATTGCAAAGAAAAAGGGTATAATCTATAGATTTAAAAGAAGATTTAAGAGCCATATCCAAAAAGGATGACATTTATGAGAATAGCAGATATTTGATTATATTAAGGATTGTGTTTATGCCTAAATAATATTTTCTTTTAGAGATCCGTACTAAAATGTTTACAAATGAAATAATGATGTCTAGGGCTTGCTTCAAAGTATCTCTGAAGTTGGAAAAGTAGGTAGGGATATAGATGAAACAGGCTTGACTATAAGTTGATCATCATTGAAGCTATTTGATGGGTACATGGAGTTAATGGAGTTCGTTACATTTATTGTCTACTTTGGTATATGTCTGAATTTTCCATAATAATTTTTTCTTTTCTTTTTCTTCTTTTCTCTTCTTTTTTTTTTTTTTTTTTTAGAGAAAGGGTCTTGCTATGTTGCCCAGGCTGGCTTCCAACCCTGGGCTCAAGCAATCCTCTGCTCAGCCTCCTGAGTAGCTGGAACTATATAGACATGAGCCACCTAGCCTAGGTCCATAATAAAATGTTTTAAAAGTGCATGTGAGGGTAGATTTAGCTGTGCTTTCTTTCTTTCCCTTTCCTAACTTGGAATGGATGCAGTGCTGGAGCTTCCTGTTACCATAAGGCTTAAAAGCATGAAGACGAGAATGACAGAGCAGAAATACAAAAACCTCTTGGGTCTAAAACATCCATAACCGATACCATTACTATGTAACAAAATCTGACTTTCTCAAAACTGAGGTTTCAATTTCCTTTTCCACTATTATATAACATGTATCAGTTGTCATTTAAAAATTATACATATTTGTTTATTGAGAGTTTATTGTCATGCAGAATAATTTATATATAAATTATATATCAAATATTGCTTAAGAAATATGAAGACACAGCCACAAATTCTGATGTGGAAGATAAAACTGTGCCATCCAATATGGTAGCCAAAAGCCACATGTGGCCATTTCAATTAATAAAAATTAATAAATTAAATCATTTTTTTGTTGTAATCTCTCTTTTGCCCGGCCTATAAACTATAAATTCTTTGAAACCAAGGAGTCTGCCTTATTTTTCTTTTTTAACTTCTAATACCAGACACATTTCCTTCTACATGGTAGGTACTCAATATTACTGGTAACGCGCATGACCGAGTGAGAGATAACTGTTTATCAGAATGTTTATAAAACTACACATTTGTATGTACATCAAAGCCTCGAAAGGCACAGGTTTCTCCCCAAACACATTCATAGCCACATTCCCGTTCAGTCTGCTTCCCTCTGCTGAGGTTTTAACATGTACAGCTCCGATGCCCAACAATGGCAAATCAATCATTACATCGGCATGCATCACGTCTGAGTTCTCAGTAAAGAAGGTGTCTTTCTTTCCACATTAGCAATTTGGGTGGGCGACAGAGCCATAAAGATGTATGACAGAGGACTGGAGAATTGGATTAAACAAGGTTAAACAGGATTCCATTTTCTGGGTCCCTCTTTGCTGCAGGAATTTTGTTGATTCCCCAGAATGAAGGGGCCAATTGTTTGCAAGTTCTTTTCTTCAAGCCCGCAGAAGAAAATTGGACTGAATCATTTCTTGCTCTGTTATTTGGAATAGCAGAGAGCTGGGAATAGCAACCATAAGCAATGACTTGTTTATTTTTAAAAGTTATTAAAGGAAATGCCTTATGCGCCTAAAATCATAAATCGTAGTAGCTACTGGGGTCTGGGTTAATTGTTCCAAAGTGCCACAATTAGGTGGGCTTATTGCCACGGCCACCAAATCCCTATAGGACTTGGCCTCCGCCTCTAATTTTCCATCCACATCAGCCCTCTGCCTATTTCTCCACTTAACAGTTAATTCTTATTCCTGGGTCTCAGTTTGTCTTAAAAATTATACATATTTGTTTATTGAGAGTTATTGTCATGCGAATAATTTATATATAATTATATATCAATATTGCTTAAGAAATATGAAGACACAGCCACAAATTCTGATGTGGAAGATAAACTGTGCCATCCATATGGTAGCCAAAGCCACATGTGGCCATTTCAATTAAAAAATTAAATAAAATAAAATTCATTTCTTTTGTTGTACTACCACATTTCAAGGGCTCAATAGCCACCAGTGGCTAATGACAACATATTAGAAGCTCAGATGTAGAACATTTTCATCATTGCAGGAGTTCTATTCGATAGCACTGTCAAGAAATTTTCACAAAGGTGCAAAAATAATTCAGTAAATTAAGCATAATTAACAAACTTAAACATAACTTAAACAATGGTGCTGGAGCAACCAGACATCTCCAAGCAAATTTTTATATAAATATAATTTAAATGACTCTACCTAAATTTATAATTTATACGATATGATGGTAGAATATTGTAAAGGTATAAACTTGGGGAAAAAAATAAGCTACATTAATCGATGAATATGGTATTGGTGGAGGTTAAACACATGAGAACAATGAAAAAATAGAGAACCAGAAATAGGCCAAAATAATAGCCAAATGATTTTTACAGAGGTGTGAAAGCATTTAATATAGGTAAGGATAGTGGTTTTTTCAAACAAAATGTATTAGACAATTGGACACCCATATGCAAAAAATAATTCTCAGCCTGCATCTCATATCTTACCCAAAATTGAGACTCAAAACAGAACACAATCTAAGATAAAACACAAACTAAAAAAATTTTAGAGGAGAAAATCTTTGCATTCTTGATTAGCAGAGTTCTCCAACAAGACAGCAAAAGCCCAATCCTTAAAAAAAAAAATAATAAAATGCCTTCATCAATAAAAAATGTTTACTCTGCAAATACTGTTCAGAGAATTAAGACAAGATACAGATTTGCAGAAAATATTGAAAATTACATATTCAACAAAGGACTTGTATTAAACTATTTAAAGAACTTTCAAAACTCAACAGTAAGAAAAATGAACAAAAGATACAAAAGACATTCACTAAAGAGCAACTTCCAACTCCTGGGCTCAAGAGATCCTCCTGCCTCAGCCTCCAGAGTGGCTGGACTACAGGCATGCCCCACCAATGCCCTAATTTTTCTAGTATATATATATATATATAGTTGGCCAATTAATTCTTTCTATTATTTAAGTAGAGACGGGTCTCGCTCTTGCTCAGGCTGGTTTCGAACTCCTGACCTGAGCGATCTCCCCCTCAGCCTCCCAGAGTGCTAGGATTCCAGGCGTGAGCCACTGTGCCTAAGTAATCTTAAAATGTTGAATGTGAATCTGGTCAAGCCTCTAGATCTGTCACTTTATCGCAAATATAGAAGAAAGAGGAACATGTTAAATGACGTCACAGCAATGAAATCAGCAAAA